GGCATTGCTCCAGCCTAGTCAGTGATGGTGCATTATTTCCGGTCTACGCTTCATTCATGTGCAAGGTGTGGGAGGGGGAAAGTGTTCAGGAAGTCTCATTCTCTTACCCAGTCAACAGGACAGGACCCACCCAAACTGTGCCAAAGGGCTCAAACCTTCCCACCTGCGGGCAGGAGGGTTGTCCAGCCTTTGCATCTGACCTGTGCAAACACTCAATAAAATAGGTTTCAACCTAAGTTATCGTGAAGGATCCTATCCTGGCCAGCGAGTTCTTCTCCCCCTTTCTGCACTGGCTTGGGAAGGATCATTACAGATGGACTCAAGCCCAAGCCCCAGATCCTAACATCCCAGGAACTAACGCTGGGGAAGTTCTTGATCTGTTGGCTTGGGCTAAGGAGTCTCGAAGAAAGTTCCCACCTGCTCCAACCAATCCTAAGGAAGACAAAAATGTGCGGCCCCTTTACGAATGCCTTAGTGATGTGGTACCTTGGCTGGCATTCTCTTCCAGCACAGAATTCATGGACAGGCTCAGGACGGGTCATGGCATCACAGTACGTATCATCCACTTCGATCCCATCATAACGAACACACATTGCATACGTGGACATCACTCCTAGTTTTAAAAGAAACACACACACACAGAATGGAAGTTCGGTGACTTTCGTCCTACACGCCTTTTGAGCTGTATTTTCCAAAATGTCTTTCCAAAGTATAATCAATGGGCCTGCTCCGGACCCTGGGGGCAGGAAGCAAACAGTGGTAGGAGGGTGGTGCAGTGGAGGAACTCCTAAGTCATCCCACCTACACAGGGCAGGATGGTCCCGGGAAGGCCCTGCGGTGCTCCTTAGTTGCAGGCCAATGCAGCACCCACCCAGCACTTGCCCTTACACCAGCAGCAGAGTCGGATGGTCAAAGAAACTATTCACACATGTTACTGGGGCCCTCAGCCAAGTACTGACAGGATATTAGATTCCTATTCTGCCTTGTTCTTGGGTGAAGAATGGGAAAGAGCCTCCCCCCACCCCACACATCCACACAAATCATGCCACAATTATACCCTTACGCTCACAGGGCGCATACAGTACACTTGGCATGGTATTGATTTGTACATGAGTATTAACAAAGGGATTGATTTGTATTGATTTGTACATGAGTATTAACAGAGGAATTAATCCCCACTCTCCTGTGTCAGGCACAGAAAGCAGAACATCATCACACCAGGACCTTTTCCCCTGCAGCCTAGTTTGCCAGAATAAAGGTTATTCAGCCCATTCCGGGACCCGGCTTGGAACCAACAGACTGATCTGGCCACAGGTAACAAGGATCCTGGCTGTCCCGGTTCTCTCCAAATCATGCAAAAGGATCTACAAGCCTGGACATTGCAGCATTCCTCCAACATATAGCTGCCTATACACGTGCCGCTTCATGCTCTCATTAGACTGTCAGAGGAGACTTGATTCATCAAGTCTGCTCTGCAATCTAGTTAGAGCGCTCCAGCGCGGCCTCATCGTCATGTGTATAAGCCCCAGCATGTTTAAAAATGGCCACTGAGGCACTTTATCTGAACCTCGTCGAATGAGGTTTAGATCAATCATCCCACAGTCATTTTTAAACCCTCAGGGGCTTAATGGTGAGGCATTTTAATTAGATCAGCTCTCCAGGAACCGCTCTAATTACAATGCCCTTCCCCCCTCTCCTCTGCAAGCACGTGTATTAGGCAGTCTATGTGACTAGCGAAGTCGTCTCCCTGCTATCGAGAGCTTGGGTCAAACCCAAAGCTTTCCTCAGCATAGAGAAATATGATCAGGAGGGATCACACCGCTCAAGAGCATACTTGGTTCCAGGATTTGGAGCAGAGGGACAGCTTGCAAAGTTCTTGGTCTCAGGAGATTTTGTAGAGGTGCCTGTAGAACAAGACAACAGCGCTGGGACACTTAAAAAAAAAAAAATTGGTGAGTTCGTTCCTTTCAAAAGTCTCTCTCTCAAGGTTTGAATCCCTTCTTTGTACTTTCTAATTCCAGAAGCAATGAAGCTTCTGCTTTATTTCAATTAAGATGCTATTTGTGACAGTGGGTGCATCTACATGCTCATTAATGCGCTGTAGTTACAGCACATTAAGTTTAGCACATGTATAACCAAGTACTAAATCAATGTGCAGTAACCAGCGCTACTGTGCATTAGTGCTGGCGCATGGCTTTTTAGTGGTGCTACTGCACAGTAGCCTAATATGATGCATATTAGCACTGTTTCCCATGTGACACACTACTGTGCAGTAGTATTAGGCTACTGTGCATTTAGCATCTCATGTAGACGTGCCCAGTGCAAGCAGACATGCTCTCAAGATGAACGTTCTGCCTACGCCCACCTTTCAGGACAAGCCCTAGATGGCTTGCGGGCCAATGTTACTACCCAATAATCAATAAGCCATAATAAGGAAGAGAGATCAGCTCATAGGAGACTGGAGGGGATGAAGTGAAGAGGCAACAGCTAGATTTGAATCTGGGCGACATCAGTGGAGTGATGCCGGCTTGACCCCCACCTCGTGGAGATCACGCTCAGAATCAGGCACAAGAGAAACAACGCAAAAAACAAAAAACAAATGCTGTTTTGTTTCTACAGTTTGCAAACCTCCTCTCGGTCAGAGAGAAGCCACGCTTGGCATAATATTTTAAAGCTGAGTGGAAAAAAAAAAATTGGCTGCATAAACTTCAATCGTCCTCCTGTCCTGATGGCTCAAGTTCAAGGAGCCAGTAAGCTAAAACTTGGTACAAGCCTGAGGATCCTGCAGGGTCCTGGATCCTGCAGTGCAGCCCTGCTGGGCTAGGAAATGAAAAAAATGTTAATCGTTACCTAAAGGGGAAGTTTAAAAAAAAAAAAAAAAAAA